GTCTTTATATACAGTCAGTGATGGTCTTTATATACAGTGTAAATGCTCCTACCTTCCTGCGGTGGTTGTCGTAGTCGCTCTGGTCCCATCGCTGCTGCAGGTATCGGTTGGTGACGGGTTTGAACGGCTGGTACGACCTGTGCATGTTTCACACTCTCAGTCTGAACCAAGTCACACAGTCGGAGTGTGTTTGCAGGTCAGGATGTTGTCACCATGGAGACGTACCCCTCTTTATGTCATCGCAGATAAGGTTCCTATTAATTATTGCTGAGCTGGGCTTTTTAACCATGGTGAGGACACACACACACACACACACATGAAATCTATGTTAGCTTGCAGCTATGAACATGCGTCACTGATCTTTTTGATAATTCAATGTTGATATTGTGGAGAGCACATTGATAGAGATGCATCATTTTTAATGTTTTTTAGAGATAGCTGTTTATAGAGACTAAATGTCGTACTCAGAAGTGCGACTCGAGTTATTAAAAGAAACTAGCCGTTGGGCTCAGAGTCAGACGACTTGGCTTCTGTGTGAGTTACTTATCTTAAATCTGAGGTAACGTCAGAAGCGGCTGCAGTGAGAACAAGGTCTTATTCTGTCAAACATTTCCTCTTTCATTATGTGGGAGCAGGTCACCGCGGGGCCTCTCCTGGACCCACAGGAACAAACCTGTTTGGCTAACAGCCGGGTCGTGTCCTTGCCTCCATAATAAATGAAGTGTGTGAGATTTGAATATGACGAGAACTGAGGAGGTGAGTGTGAAGAGGTTCCTCCACACGGTGTCCCTGTGGGGGCCACAGCCAGGGGACGGAAATAATGACGTCAGGCAAGTTCACAGACAAACGGCTCGCTGGCTTTATGAAGCCGTCAGCTCCAGTTAACGTGACCGGGGAGCAGCGTGGCGAGCCAGGCCTCCAACTCTGACCAGGTTGTGTTTGTTGGCAGGTGCATCTGGTGTGAAACCAAAACCTCAGTCATGTTTCAAAGTTTGAAGCCTCAGTGAAGTGTCCTCAGTCTGAGCTGTATTTTGGGTTCCAGCAGATTGTCTGTATGTTAGAAATGTCTTCTTTAAACCCACTCGCTCCGCTTGTACGAAGATTCTGACAGTTTCTTATCTGGGATTTGTTCTAATGTTAGAACAGAATCTACGCACTAAATGCACATGACTCCTCATTGGATCTTTATTATCTCTTCACCGCTCGGTCACCGCTCGGCTCAGTCCGTCCTCAGTGAACACAAGAAGAGAAGACTCATATCAAATGTTAATGTGGACAGACTGTTAATGAAAGATGCAATCAGATGGAACACACTACAGGTAATACTACTGTGTGTGTGTGTGCAGTCTGTAACCTCTAGTGGTGAAGTTACAGACTGCAGCCACCTTATATACAGTCAGTGTTTATATATAGTCAGTGTTTATACACAGTCAGTGTTTATATACAGTCAGTGTTTATATATAGTCAGTGTTTATATGTAGTCAGTGGTTGTGGTTATATACAGTCAGTGTTTATATATAGTCAGTGTTTATATATAGTCAGTGTTTATATATAGTCAGTGTTTATATACAGTCAGTGT